TGAAGCTTTATTTGAAGTATCCAAAATTTTACTATCGTTTTACCTTCTTAAATGTACTGCTTTTTTTATTGGCTAAATATACATTGCAAGTTATCTCTTATAAATAGTACAATATACTCCAATTGTTATATTCAATTTTTAATTAGATTGTCGGGCCCTTAGAGTCTTGCTTGCCCAAGGGCCCTCGAAATTATTGAGACGGCCCTGTTTTCAACCTAAGTATATTTCTAATATTAATTGAAAAAAATAAATACACATACTGGCTGCATGTTCGGTGTGCGTGACACAAAAATCTAGTATCATAATTAAGTCTGTGATGATTTTTTTTAATTGATAATTAAATCTAGGGTAAATTTTTAATTTCATTTTAGTATTTTATGTCCAATGTTCCATGAAGTAATTAGTTTTGCTATAGAGTCATCGAACGGCTCGGCTTATGGAGCCGTTGATGGACGAATATGATCAACGGTTAAAATGAGATAAGATAAAGGGTAGAACCGAAAATAAGAGAGAAATACGATTTAATTACGATTTATTATATAATTACGAGTACGAGGTCGGCCTCTGTGAGTGAGGTCGGCACTTTTATTACATTTGGCATAATTACAAGAATCTATTATAGAATTCTAGAGAGAGAAGGCATAGTAGGTGAGATTCAACAACCCAAAATAAATGAAATGGGTTCCTATTTATAATCTCCTTAAATGTGGCACTATTCAGACATTGTTCATCGGTCTTGTCGTACAGTGATTTTGCAAAGCAGTTCGGAGCCTCTCTGACAGTTATTTAATGCGATTTGAGGTTTTCTCAGTCATTGATGTCAGACATTTGATGCACACATGAAGGATATTTAATGTTCAGGCTTCTGTCGGGCTAGGCGTGGTAGGGTGGCAGATTATGACAGCATGTCTAATTGCCAATGATCACCCTTCAAGTGGTAGTTTTATATCATTATCGACCCCGGCGCTCATCTCTGGAATGGGGTCGGTCTAGACTTCCAGATCGGCTCCCGGGCGAAATATCTTCCATAGGCCTTCAGGACCCCTCCTTTAAATTGGCGTCTGGCGAGGTCGGCACCGCCGCTTAAGCGACGCTAGTGCCGACCTCGAGAATGACGTCAAACGGACGCGGCGGTTATTTTAGTTCGGAATTCAGTTCGGCACTTACGCTTTGAACCGTGTTGGAATGTCACTTGTGAGTTGTCCCACATTGATTTGATAGGGTAAATAGACCTAACTTATAAGTCTAGTGGGCTACTCCTCCTGTTACCAATTGGTTTTGGGATGTAACCTCACTTGGGCTTCATTTGGGCTAACCCTCTTATGGTGCGCTTCACCTGTGTGGGACCGCACTCGTTTGCCCCCCGTTTGACAAACCGGGTTTCTGGTCGGCTTTTAGAATCGTCTCCATCCGATTTTCTTTTGGCTAACTCGGATGTCAACATGAGTCATCCACAGTTATTCACAAATAGTGTATTAGAGTCATCCACAGTTATTCACAAATAGTGTATTAACACGTGTCCTACAATAAATACACTTGCAACATATGTCAATACATTAAATGACGAATGACTCCATAAAAAAACTATCGATGGCTCCATTTAATTTTTGACAAATCAGTATAGCAAACGTGGATCCATGAAAACATAGAACGGATTAATTAAATGTTTTTAATTATAAAACAATTAAATCCTTATTAGTGAATATTTATTTATCAAAAGAGGTACTAATTAATAATGATAAATTTAGAATGAATGTGTTTAGTTATCAAGTCAGATTTGCTAAGATGATATTTCTCCTAATTTTTTTGTAAGGTGGTGTCCTCAAATTCATCAAACAAAACTTTAATTTCATCCTCTAAAAAAAGAGGAAAAGAAGGGAACAAAATATTCCAAGAATAAGAGACTGTTAGGGCGTCTCCAATGGTTAGCTATTTGGCTAACTATTATGACGTGGACAGGGAAAAAGTAAGAGAGAGAGTAGTCACTAGCTACAAACAAATAGCTTATCTATTTCACG